TAATCTACCAACATCTGGTTTTTTTCACCTAATTAGTAATGTAATCCTACAATTTTTTAGATTTGATGACCAATAAATAAGATATCGACCAAGTAAAATAATTAGTTCTATCAAGATTTACGAAACTGATTTGTAATGAAGAGTTATTAAAACTAGTAACACTTACTTTTTTTGCTTATGTTATCTTAGAATACTAAAAACAAGAAGAAAAATATCTAGTAATGAAAAGCGAACTTCCTAATCTGCACCAAAGGAGTCAAAAGAAGGAAAAAACCGAAAAAGGACAAAAAAAGGGGAATTAGATCTGCCTTGGCTCGGCTCAGGCACGGACGGACCAGGTTTGAGTGGTCCGGCGCGCAGAATGACCATACCAAACGTCCCCTTGCGTGGAAAAACGGAATGGCGCGGCGGAGGAGATCTGTCTGGTCAATACAGCACGACTCAGCAGCGACCGGAGCAGTGTGGCGTGCAGGAGGAGCAATTGACCCATCTCCAAACGCGGATTGGCTGGAACAGAGCGATGGAGGGTGCAATACAGATCTGTCGGATGCGCGCTGCTGCGCAAATAAAAGGCTGGATATGTGTGATCAAGCCAGATTTCGTGCAGAAATGAGCCAGATTTGTCTCGATTGGGCTTTTCCGATGTTGTTCCAAAGTTTTTCTGGCCGAAAGGGATAAAGCCGATGGCACGTGTGGCTCACGCACCTCTGCTGCCGGCGGCGCGTGTGGCTCACGCACGCAGAAACTGATTGGTGTGCTAGCCGGGGTTGAGCAGCGACTCTGTCTGGGTCGTGATGAGTTTGGTTTTTTTGGTAGTTGAATACCATCTCAGCTTTTTTTTTACTATTTTAGAGTTTTATAAAAAACTCTTAAATTAAAACTTTAAAATAGTTTTATTTTGGTTTTAATATTATGAAGATTTTTGGAGAAAAAATAAATTTTTAATTTTATTTCTTCTTATTTGTGTTTACACTTAAGGTGTATATGAAGTGAATTATTCTTATTTTATGAGGATTCTAATTATATGATATTGCTTTATTATTAGAAGTTTAAATAATAAAATATCTTATTTAACATATTATCCTACTTAACATGAAATCCTTATTAACAGTAACCAATTGATGAGATGTGTGGTTGTAAGAATATGCTTCCCCCAAAATAAGTTAGGATTGCTGAAACAGAAACACTTGATTGATTTTAAGAAGATGATCATCTTTGCTTCCTAAGATTTTATTTTGTTGTTGGATGTTGACACAAGATGGCTCCTGTATTATCTGAAGTAAATCTTTTGATATTGACACCAAATGATTCTTAGTCATGGAAAAGAGCTTTAGGAGAACAATACTGACTTTGTTCTTATGTTTGAGCAAAAAAATATAATCGACAAAAAACCATCTTGCCTCAAAGACATAAGGAACAATAGAAGATTCCCGAATATCACTTTTAATTAGAAAAAACAGAAACAAATTTTCTTTTATTACTAATTGGAAAGGATACATGTTTGTCTTTAGCAAGTTGGCACACTTCACAATAAAAATATTCAACATCTAGACCTTTGAATAAAACAAGAAACATGATTTCAATAAATTGAAATGATGGATGTCCAAGTTGGTGATGATGAAGCCAAATTTTATCTTTATTGGATGAAAAAGACTCCAAAATAAAAGAATAAGGAAACTTGCCCTTGGGAACGTTTTATTGACTCGGTGCTTCGAGGTAGTAGAGGCTCATCCCCTTCGCTAATATGTCTAGTCATCGTCCCCTTCTTGTCCTAAAATACACAAAAACTGTGGTGAAAAACAATATTGCAATGCAATTTCAAGTGAGTTTTTGGATGGAGATGAAGTTTGTGGGCAGGTTAGAATATGAAAAATATTTTTTAAATTCAGATAGTTTATTTTGACACCTCATATTCCTATTATGATGGTCAAGA